CCTGTACCTGTCAGATCTGATTTGACGGTACACGTACACAAAAATAATAAAATAAATTTTTTTTAAAAAAAAGAATCTTTAGGGCAGGGAAGATAAAGTAACAGAATGCAGTTTACATAAGCTTACTTATTTGGTTTGTGAGCTTCTAAGCTCAGCCATTTAAATATAAAAAATTCAAACCATCATCATCCAAAAAGTTCTGTTGTGATGGGGACACTCTTCACTATGTGCATCTCTTCATCGAACTGCTGATTCAGTTTGAGGGTCTTTTTCATTTAACTTCTGATTCAAATCTAGACTGTCAATTTTTTCATCTCCTTCAAGCTCAGAGTGGAGGAAAGGAAGGACACTCTTATCTCCAATATACAAGGTCAACACATGCTAGAACATGGGCTGATGACAGTTGCCAAGGCTAACTCACCCATTTTTTTGGTCTTTAAATCCAGTCTGACCTCATCTTAACTCTTTCTCAACAGCCATTTCTGGGCTGTTCTTTGTAGTTGTTCTACAATTACTGGAACCCACACTAAACCCACGACATTTCTGTTCACTCTGTTTGTCATATTGCACTGTTACTTAGACTTGCAGCTCCTTAGTTTTCATCGGATGTACAGGTTTCTTTCTTTACTTTTCATCCTGATGAAAATTTCTATCCAAAATTTATGATTGTTACAGCTGGAAATCTTCACTGAATGCCCTCACATACAAAATTCTATAGAAAGAACTCAGGAAAAATTCCAACAGGAAATAGCTGATGCTATTATTCTTTAGTTGAAGTATGACAAAACAGGTGAATGGAGCTAAGAAATGGTCTTATGTAAAGGAAAATAATTGAGTCATTTCTCTATACTAGGCACCAAACTCCCCTCTCAAGCTAAATGTTTTCAAAGATCCTCCACCATGACTACATTAGGCTGCTAACTAAAAGATTGACAATTTTCATTTACTAGCTGTTACTTGAGTGGAAAATATGTCAATCTGCTAACATAAAGACTTAAGCCTTGGAAACCCAATAGAGGTTTGCCATGAGTCTTAATAGGCTTAATGGCACTGGGTGAGTATAATGTAAGTGGTTTGAATCACCAGCTTCTTTCTGGGAAAAGGATGGGCAATCTCCTTCCATGCGATTTACTTCTTCTGAAAACCTGCTGGAAGGTCAGCTATGAGTCAGTTCTGACTCAACTGCCCACAATAACAACATGGTACAGTAATTAAATACTGGTATGTACTTAAATGTTGATCATTTAAACTCACGAGCCACTCCACTTGAAATGGATAAAGAGAGCCAAGATGCTATGACAGTCACACTCCAGAAAGATGTTTAGTTCTGGATTTACAGGAGTTCATCTCATAGCGTCTGAATGAGTTAGTATCAACTCAGTAGCAATTTTAAAATTATAACAACTATACAATATTTTACAAATGCAGCTTTATTTTACAGATGAAGTATATTGCTATGTGCCATTGATTCAGAACCAGCTCACAGCTGACTCTCCATTGAGTTTTCAGAAGCTGTACATTGTGTGGGAGGAGATTGCCCATGTTCTCTGCAGAGCAGCTGGTGGATTTTAATTATGTACAGCACAATGTCTAATCATCAAGCCACCAGACTCACTTAACAAACATAGTCAAGATCATAGAACTAAATAGCAGGAGCAAATTAGGAAAAGTAGCCAATTTTACTCCAAAGCATTGGCTTTTTTTGATAAACTATAATTCTCTCAATTGAAAGATGGTGCCTAAGAACTCTTACTTTAATTCTCAACAGTGTTTCTCAACTATGGTCAACTTTGCCCTCCAAACTTCAGACATTTGTCCATGTCTGGAACCTTCTGGGGAATTTTAGTGACACAGTTTATAGAAAGTTGAGCTCCTAACCCACAGGCTACAGCCCTCTTGTTCTTCAAATCCATTAGTGGCTCCACAGTAGAAAGGTGCACAACCTCCTTCCATTCAGTTTACAGCCTCGGAAACAAAATAAGCCTCCGCTGTGCGTCGATTTCCAGTCTATAACAATGAGAAGCAAGGGCACAATTTTCTTTGTTACAACTGGTGAAAGAGAGCATCTAGAGGCCAGGGATACTCCTGAAAAGTCTGTAACCCTCAGAACAGCTCCTTGTATAACAAGGAGCCATGCCATTTAAAATGTCAGTAGTTTTGAGCTAATTTTGTGTGTGTATCTCTCTCATATGTCCATTCTGTCCCATCACAGATGACAGTAGTCTCCTGAACCTAACTCCCTACCCTCTGGTTAGAAGACGGAAGAGAAGGTTCTTTGGGCTGTGTTGTCTTGTCTCAAGCTAAGCAGTTCCTCTTGAAAACTCACCATTGGGAAGACCTGAAAAACCGCAGAACCCAAGGACCTCCACTCAGCTGAACCACAGTTACTGGCTTTTGACTATGTTTTCTATTGCCCCCTATTACTTTTATCTGCATCCCTCTGCCCTTTTCAGTGATTTTACATGTGAAAGCAGCTGCAGTAAAGGGAGAAACAAGAAGAAAGAAAAAAACAAGCAAACCCAAATTCAGAAAAGCAGGCTGTTTTTAAAAGGATTGTTAAAGCCGACATTGCTCATGTCTGCTCTAAAACTCACATCATACTAGATGCAAGAATTATGATTTTTAAATTATTTAAAGGTTTTTTTAAATGTATTATACAGAGCAAAAATATTTCATGTATAATAGTATACCTATAGCTCTTGCTAACCTAATGTTAACAATTTACCATATATGAAAGAAGTCTTTCAATGTATGAATCTATGTAAAATTGCAAAACTGTACTCAAAATTCCAACCTATCAATATCACTAGAAGAAATAGCTAACAAAACTTATGCCACCTCACTGATTGCTTTTCTCTGCACTCATTCACGTTTAGTCTTCCACTCTGTCTTAATCTAAGAGCTTAAAAAAATTTAAAGTATCTTACTTTATAATGGAACAAAACCATATATGAAAAATAGCTAAATTTTGTAAATACACAATAATCCTAATACCTTCATATAACGCACATGGCAACTAATTTTCTTTTCATCCAATGTTGTCTTTTTCAACTTCTTGGAGAATGAAGTAATCCAGTTAGGAAATGGTATAGTTACATAAACAATTACCCTCACATGTAAAATTGAATATTATCACATTTTGTTCTAATTGAAATTTGAAGCATGGTGTCTGCACATCAGCATAGTGTTAACTCTTATAGGGCATGCTGGAATTAGCTCAGATTGTTAAATATTTAACATTTTACATTGTTAATATTTTTTTTAGTTATGCTAAGCTTGTCTCATTTTAGATGACTATGCAGATAAGATTTTTCCAATGTGTATTCAGTGTCTTGTTTTTGCTAAGTATCTGGAAAGCAGGGCACATTAAGCAATACTATATTTTAGGAACGAGGAAGCCACGTGCTTTGTTTTTCTGCTCACAGCTTTGTTGTGATTTTCCTCCATTGCTAACATGGGACAAATGTTGTTCTATTTTTCCCTTGTTCTTCCTTTGGCCCATTTCCCAGACAGAATTTCCCATGGGTTGAGAGATCAGGTCTTTGCACTTCTTTTCTTATTTCCCATGGTCTGGAAAATCTTAAAATCAGACAGGAGACATCATTTTATCCGGGACTTGGTTTTTATCCCAACCCTCTCTTTTCTCAACATTTGTATACACAGAGCATTTATCTGCCCTCCAATATTTTTACCTAAAATTTAAGTCTTTTAAAGATTTCCGCTTTCATGAAGATTAAGAGAAGAACAGGTGAATTACTAGAATAAAAACTGCATTAGGTTGAATCATATGAAATTGCTGATATTCGACTGTTTTTGACCTTCATAAAAGGCCGTTTCATATGCTTTGATCTAATATCTGATACTGTGGACATTATTCTTCTAATTGCCTTCTAGCTATTTTGATTGAAAGTGAAAGAATTAAGTAGTTGAAAGAGATCTCAACAGCTATGCAGGTCTCTATGTAGATCATACCAGCTGTTTGTTGACCTTATCTTTAGAATTCAGCGTTCTGCTCTAGTAGACTGATCACTAATGTAATGCTATCAGTAGGTCCAGCTTTACATAAAAAAGTTGCCATTAAAAAGTTACGTGTGAAGTATCTCAGTTTTCTAAATCAAATACTTAAAAAATATTTGTGTGCCTATGCTATTTAAAGATTTGTGAGGTGAATATTCCCTTTGTAAAGCTAGTAGCCATATATAGATTTACCTGGTCTATAGACTCTGATTTTTAATTAAAGTTTAATATCCTTTCTTCAATCTGGTTTAAATAGATGAGACCATTTCTCTTTTCATCTCCTGATGGTCTACTGTTTTCAAAATTATGCCATAGCCCAACTGAGTATGCTTTCATTCCCCATCTCTCCCCTTACCTTTTAACTACATTGAACTGTTAGCACAACCTAGCTCCTACTAATCTGTGCAAACCTATTAACTGATAGACCTAACCTTTGTATTCTGCATGTTCTTCTAAATGCCTGGCTCAAATCACTTCTGCTTCATTAATTTGTGTTCACTCTTGCCTTAGTCTCTGTGTGAAAGTACCACTTCTCTTCCATCCAGTTGCCCTTTACACAACTGAAGACTGTTAATAAATTCAGGTCTCACCTCCATGTCTGAGAGGCTGTTGAAGCTATTCATGGAGATGGGAATTTGTCTGATAACCTTAGCCAGGCTTTCCATATCTAAGGTAAATAAATTCAGTTACCTAGCTTTTATTCATAGTGCCTGTTTCATAGGCTTTGGTTGCTTTTTGTAGTTCATGTGGACACATCCCAACATTTATAGAACTTCCTTCAGTTGCAGTCTTAAAATTAAGTTTAATGCTCAAAATCCTGATAACTTAAGCTACTCATAGTTGCAATAAGCAGTTCACTTTTAGACAGGCCAGTGCTCTTTGAGCATTGACTTCCCTCTCTTCTCACCTATACATGATTCCATGAGATAGAAGAATTCCACTGTTTTCACTTTATCTTGGTAGTTAGCTTTTAGATAAGCAAGTACTCCGGATGGGAGGGTCTCTTGGGATAAGAACATTGAACCCAGAGAGTATAAAAATATAGGGTTTTTTTCATTGCGTGAATCTACATGCTTGAAACAGAAAAGAATATAAACATATGCCACATAATCATTCATTTTACCACCATAACTTCCCAGATCCCATTAATTCCTCCTAATCCCTCCTCTCCACAACATAAAAGGCAATACATACTCTTTGTGGGAGATTTTGGAAAATACCATTAACAACAAAAAAAGTCACGTGAATCCCACAACCACAACATTGTTTAAAATCACATTTTCCACAGTTTCAATCAGCTAGTAATAGGTACCAAAGCAGGAAGAAATGTCTACAAAGCTATCACTTTAAAAAAAAAAGTGTCCCCTGCCTTCCATCTAGGAATATACATGGCAAGCTTTTAGCAATGTCATTGTTTGGGGGGAACAGACAGCTCTAGAAATAGCACGGGCCTGTTCCCTCATCTAATGAATCAAAGCTCTTGGGGGAATTCTAAATTCTCCTTGACCATTTTTGTCCCTTGGTGCTCCCAGAAATATGGTTCAGACTCTTACTGTTTGACAATACTGCCACCTACTGCATGTGGAACTATATAGTGAGAGTGAAAATAAATATATCAGAAGGCATATACTTATTTTAGGCAACAAATGAATGGGTCAGGTTAACAGTAATCCAGACTTTGAAATTTTCAACTTTGTTAAGGATTATCAGCCAGTGTAACTTCCACCATATATCTGTACCTGAGCAAGGATAAACTTTCTAACTATACCTATGCTAAGAAAAGACAATCCATTCTGTCACCCTCAGAGCAGATCATTAGAATTAAACATAAAGCCAAGAAATAGCCCCAAGAGAAAATAATTGATAACATTACACAATAAAGTTGATTTAAAAGAGGATTTACTATAATGGCATTTCAAATAGAAAAAGTTAGATTATTAAGTAAATTCTTGGAGGGATGACTGGTTAACCACTTGAGGGGGAAATATTAATGAGATTTGTATCTCATAATATCAATTTTAGTTAATTCAAAGTAAAGATACAAATACTAAAGCATATAAATAAACATGGAAAATAAATTTGCAACCAGATGAGTATTTACCCGATTTTAATATTGTATTTTAGATGAAATCTTTGTAAGCTTGACACCAAAGGGAGAAACCACGAAGGAAAGAAGAATGGGCTTGACCAATTTAAAATGCAAATTTCTATGTGATAAAAAATAAGCCACATGAAAATAAAAGACTTATATATGCACAGAGTATGTATTAATATATACTTTTATTATGTACTAAGAGTTTTAGCACCTTTGAAAAGTTTCTATAACCCACTCCTGTCAATCTCCTCCAACTCATATTTTCCCATTTCATTCTAGCCTCTTCTTATTGTACTTTTTCCACTATTTCTTATTTCATTCTTCCCGCTAAACTGAAAGTTCAAGAAGATAGCAACTATGTTTATCTTACTCATATCCCTGACCCCTAAAATAGTGATACAAAGCTGGTGCTGAAAATATATTTCTTGAATGGTTGAATAATGAATGCGTCAATTTAAAAAAATGACTCGAAAAGAATCAGGCTTTCCAGTAGAAAACTGAGCGTAGGATACAAATTTGCAAAGCAACATAAAAGAAAATTGTTGTTGTTGTTATGTGCCGTCGAGTTGCTTGCGACTCATAGCGACCCTATGTACAACAGCCCTAAACTCCGCTCTGTCCTGTGCCAATCGCAATGTCTCTGACACTCCCATCCCAATTATCCCAGTCACTGAATCAATCCACCTCATAGACTTGAAAACTTAACCTCCTTTGCCGTTTCTGTTATCTAAATGTGTTCTGTTGTACATAGGGTTTTCAGAGGCCTGCTATTTCAGAAGTGGATGGCCAATCCTTCTTCCTAGTCTGTCTTAATGTGAATGTTCAGACTTAGAGAAGTATCGGAGAGACCAGCAAGTTAAAGGTATATAAAAGAAAATAGTACACTGATTAAAAATAGGAAATATATTTGAGCGTGCTAGTAATCAAACTTTCAAATTAAGGATGTGATCTTTCTAATATTATCAGCAAAGAAAAAAATATAAAAACTTTAAATCCCCAGAAATAGAAAGGGAGCATCAAAATTAACATCTCTTTCACAGTTCATGAGATTGCAAATTGATTTTGGAAAATATCTTGGCAATAAATTTTTCAAAAGCCTTAATAATGTACATGCATGCTAGCTTAGTTATGTAATGCTGCTATAACTGAAATGCCATGAGTGTCTTTAACAAACAAAAGTTTATTTTCTCATAGTGTAGAACACTAGAAGTCTGACTTCAGTATGCCAGCTATAGGGGAAGCTTTGCCTGTCAGGTTTACAGGGGAGTCCTCATGGCTTCTGAACTTTTGCTCCTGAGAGATCTTCAAGTTGCTTGTCATCTCTCTTGCTCCATTTCTGTTTGCTGACTTGAACTTAATCTCTTTCTTATCTCAAAAGAGATTGGCTTAAAATACACCTCTTACTAATCTATTCCACTAACATAACAAAGATAAAGCATTCCCAAATGAGATTGTGACTACATGCATGTTATTGTTGTTATATGCAGTCCAGTTGCCTGTGACACATGTAAAGAAGTTAAAATTTACACCATATGTTTTGAAGGTATATGGTTGCATCAATAACATTTAGTAATTCCTTTAGAAAAATATCACCCTCCCCCCAAAAAAGAAAAAAGCGAGCTAAACTAAATGCATTCATTTATTCAAGAAATATATGCAAGAAATTATATTTACATAAGTATTATCTGGAGAAGTAGAAAAAAATGTAATATGGCAATTATGTTGTTCTGGGCTGTTGAGACAGAACCAACTCATAGCTGACCCTCCAGTGGATTTTCAGAAGATGTAAGTTGCACTGAAGGAGATTTTCTTTCATTCCATGGAGCAGTTGGTGGATTCAAACCACCTGAATCTGGGTTGGTAGTGCAACTCCTTACCCAGTAGGCCACCAGAGCTGACACTTACAGAATTGCTTAAGACACTTACATAATAGCTTAAATATGATACATTATTTCAATAGTGGAATACATGTGCCAGTTAAAATAATCACTATATTTTTATTTCTTGAAATATATAAGCTATACTGTTAAAAGAATGAAAGAAAGTCATAGAGGACTATCTGTGGTGTGATCTCATTTTAAAAGATATTCATGCACCTGTGCATTAAGAGATCTGACAGGAGACTTGCCAAAATATTAACAACATTTATCTCGGGGAGGTGAGATTTAGAGTAATTAATTCTGTTTTCTTTTTGCATATCTGTAATTTCTTATTTTTCCACAGTGAGCATGTAGAATCTGTATAAATTTTCAGGGAATAAACAACAGTGTTCACAATATATATTAATGAAAAAAATGTTATAATACAGTATGTATAGTATGACACAATATTTGTAAAAAATTATATATAAATATATCTATGTATGTATATATATGCATAAGAAAGCTAGAAGGACATACACTATAAGATGTTCATAGTAGTTATCTATGGGTAGCAGAATTATGGGTGATTATTTTTTTCTTTTGCTTTTCTGTGTTTTCTAATTTTTCTACA